GAAAGAGCGAACATGTTTGGTGGGATGGGGATGCGAACCCGCGACCAGCAGATTGCGAGTCGAGCGTCCTAACCACCTAGCCATGCTGGGCCAACTACGTTAAGAGAATAACAGGCAAAAACACAGGAGCCACACCAGAAAACATAATCAATATTTACAAACAATACATTAGACCAATTACGGAATATGCCTGGACTAACGCAGCATCCACACACATAAAGAAAGTACAGACCATACAGAGCGGACAAATAACCACAGCCCTCAGAGTACCAAAAACAATAAATACAAGTTTTATGCATAATTATGCAAACATCAAATAAATTAAAGACAGACTCGTATATTGCCCGTTCCGTTACTTTGCCCCCTTCCAGTGGCACAGCGGACTTACAACGCTAGAAATCGGGTTTACATACCCATGTTGGCAGAGCACAGATAGCCCTTGTGTAGCTTTGTACATAATTAAAAACAAAACAAACTTTTAGATAAACAAATTATACTTAAATTGAAGTTATATGTTTATGTCTAGCGTAGATGGTCTTTATTCTTGTAGTAAAAATTTAGTGGGGAAAGGTATAGGTAGTGGACAAAAAAAAAGGAAACATCTGGTTAAATGAGGGACAACAAATATATGCAAAGCAGAGGGTATCACACAAGTGTGGCTCGTCCATTAGTTAAGCAAATAACATCTCAGCATGCATAGGGTCATGTATAAAAACGCTGGACAGGCCTGGTTGCCTATAATCATGGCTAGCACGGCTGCAAAAGGAGACCACACTGACTTTGAAAGAGGAGTGGTTGTTGGGGCGCGTTTGGCGGGAGTCTACCAGCGTCCGTAATTCTCCAGGAGGAATGCGACACCAATTTTCCACGAGAAAGTTAATAAACTCACGCCTAGTTGATGGAAATGGAAAACGCTGTCTCAGGCGTTGTTCCAGAAAATACCAAACATGTTCGATTGGGTTCAGAACTGGTAACTGAGAAGGTCAAGCCATATGAATAACGTCTGCGTCATGCTACTCAAACCACTGGGCGACCACTCGTGCTCTGTGGGCAGGGGCATTATCATCTTGAAAGACACCCCTCTTTGCAGGACAGAAATGCTATAACATGGGGTGAAGATGACCATTCAGTGCCATTGAGTAAAAATTGGCATCGACCTTGCCTTATAAGGGTATGAGTTCATCCAAACCATGCCAGGAAAATGCACTCCCCACCATTAAAGAACCACCAGAACCCTTCACTGTTGGAAACAAGCACTCAGAACTGTAGAGTTCTTTAAGTTGGCGCCACACGTGCACTCGTCCATTTGTCGAAAACATGGTGAAGGATGATTCATCTGACCATATCACATTTCTTTACCGCCCGGTAGTCCATAGCCTGTGCTCTATACACTACTGGACGCGCAATCGTGCATTGTCAGGTGTGATGAGCGATTCGTGCACTGCAACCTGACTGTGGAGTTCTCAGTGGACCGTTTTTGACGAAATTAGCTGTTCTAGCCCCTGATTGAAATCTGTGGTCAATTGATCTGCGGTTCCTCGCCTGTTTTGTCTTGCAGTTCGAATTAATGCACGGACATTACGATCCTGGAGTACATGCTTCCGCTCACTGTTGCCCTTTGTTGATGATGTTTTTCCCTCAGAGTTGCATGCTGACATTATCTCAGACACCGTTGCTCGTGAAACATCAGCAAGTTGAGCTGTCTTGGTCACTGAAGCTCCCGCCAAACGCGCCCCAACAACCACTCCTCTTTCAAAGTCAGTGTGGTCTCCTTTTGCAGCCGTGCTAGCCATGATTATAGGCAACCAGGCCTGTCCAGCGTTTTTATACATGACCCTATGCATGCTGAGATGTTATTTGCTTAACTAATGGACGAGCCACACTTGTGTGATACCCTCTGCTTTGCATATATCTGTTGTCCCTCATTTAACT